CTGAAAATATTAGGTGTGTCCCGCTCGCTCATATGACCGTATGCAGTTGCGAGCGCCATAAAACACTTTACAAAAACAAACAAACAAACAAAACCAGGATCACCAGCATTTGGTGTAGCGGTTAGGCACTTCACTGTCGCACACAGGAGACTTGAGTTCAATTCTCAAGTGGAGAGAAAATTATATTCATTGAATACAGTATCTCAGTCTTTCTGTTGAAGTGTTGTGTTGTATCCCTTTCAGCCTGGGTTGGCCCCGATAGACAGGGTAGGAAGCCTGCCTCTTCATTGACATAAATTGTGTTCATGGGGGCATTGAAATGAAAAATGCCCAGAGTTAAGAAAAACAGAATGTTTGAAAATACTAGGATCACGTAAGCTCGCCTCCTAAGTGACATACATAAATTGTGTCCATGAGTTTCATGAAAACACCTACATAATATGATAGAAAAAATTAAGTTTTCAAAAGACAAGGTCGGTTCACTGAACTCGTCCTTTCCTCCTTCCCGCCCTTTTCACCCCGTCATCCCGTCATGTCCCCAGGCTGTGGTGAAGACAGGCGTTATCTTCAAGGAGGTTCGGAAAGCCTTGAACAACTTGCTGGAGAGGAAGCTGAAGGACCCCACCCTCAACATGGCAGGTAACTAGAACAGGGATGTCGCTTTTCTGGCGTTACCGGTATTTTAACCCTATCTGTACGCCCCAGGGTCATTTTGTAACCCCAGGGTTGTATTCTTTACATTATAGAATACTTCTAGTACGAAGACCTCTTTGACACTTTCAGTATTTCTCAAAAAATCATTTTGACAGACTGCTGTGCAAAGCGTACGGATTGGATTAACGAGTAGATTTCCTCTTTGGAAAGTGTTGGCACAGAGTTCCCCATGTCGTATGGATACGATAGTAAAACACGACGTACGGATAGGGTTAAAAAATTATTTTTTTTTGGCAATATTGTTTTTGCTGTATTCATGGTTGTTTTGGCTGTTGTCGTGATTGTTTTGGCT